GCGCGACAGGGCGTCGGTCTTGCATGCAGTGCTCGCCCGCGTCTTCGCGCATCTCGCGCGGCGTGTCTCGAGCGAGCATCTCGATGTGCTGTACACGCTGGTCGCATTGCTGGAGAGTGTCGAGACACCCGCCGAAGTGCTGCGCTGGGTCCAATTCCTTGCGTCGCCCGCGGCGCTTTTGGAACGGGCAGAGACGACAGCGGTCGTGGCTGAGCACGGCCGACGCGCCTCCGACGCGCGGGGACCAAGCGCCTCGATGGGGCATGTCCATCGCCTCCGTCGCCTTCGCAGCACGGTCGATATGCTCGACCATAAGGCGCCCACCAACTCGTCGCGCAGTCTCCAAGGTATATCGCTCCCGCAGCTGCTGCCTACCGCGATGCCAACATTGGCAACGTCTGGTTTTCTCTCGCAGGACATGTACGACGGCCTCGTGTTCTTGGAAGCACACGTGCATGCGTTGCGGGGCCTGAGCGACGCGATTCGCGCCGACCCGATACCGTGGCGACAGACTCTCGCGACCGCACTCCAAGGCGAGAGCCGCGTGCTGTTGTGGCCAGCTCCGTGGGCATCGCGCTTGGCACCGCCCCTTGTGTCGCTTCTGTGCATCAAGTGCATTTGTCCCGAGCTCATGACGCTTGCGTTGGCCAATTTGAAAGACAGCGCGCTCCAGAACTTACTTCCCGGCGGCCTCGTCCTGCGCGACACCATGTGCACGCCGTACGTCGTTCTCGTCGCACCCAACGACACCCCGCTGCCCAAGCACGTGCCTGAACTCGAATTGAACCTGACGTCACGGATCGCGTTTCAAGCTCGCACCGCCGCCGAGACGCTCGCAGCGGCCCTCGCCAGCGTACGAGCACAGACTGCAAGCGATCGACTTGCTTAATATTCTGGGCATGGGTATGTAGGAATCCAGTCTTGTCGTGCAAATCAGCTGTGCAAGCGACGCTGCCGCGCTCCTCGAGATCGTCCAGGCGCACACGCTTCAACGGCCTCTCTTCCTTCTCGTCGACGCGCTGCTCTTGCCCGAGCTGCCACGCACGCTACTGTACCAGTCGCAGCTCGTGCGCCTGCCCATTGCGCCCATGGTGGACGCGGACGCACCGAGGGCTCGGTCGCCGATGCACGAATCGCACTTGCAACACTCGGCGGCAGAGGCGCTCGCCCGCAAGATGCCGCGGCTCCACGACTGCGCTGTCGAGAAAAGCGAGGCGCTCGCCGTTGGGTGGACGCAGTTTGTGGCCCGGCAGTACCACCTCGACGAGGCCGTCGCCACGCTGCAGCAGCTGTGCGAGATGGGAGTCAATGACGCCGCCGACGTGGCCTCCGCGATCCAAGACGGTGTCTACGGCGCGGATATGACAGCGCGGGATAGCACCGATGCGAGTGTCCTTCTCACCGACCCGCCGCCGCCACCGCGAGGGCTCAGCATGTATTTACGGAATGCGACGTACGCGCGGCAGTCGCAGAGCCTGCAGCAGCACCTGCTGCACGTTGTCGCATCGCCCGAGAGCGCGCCGCCGTCGTCGTCGCTGGCGATGGTCAAGGCCATGCTAACGACGTTCTGCGACGGTTCCAGGAGATTGCAATGCCAACGCGGTCGACCAAGCCCGTCGCCGGACACCGCGGCGTCGCGGAGGCCGCCCTGGACGCGGTATTCCACCGCCTCAAAGCCGACAGCTCCGCTTTCTACCACCTCCTCTTGACGTTTCTCTCGAGCGCCACCGAGTCGGCGCTGCCGTACCTCGACCTCCACGTGCTGCCGCCGTCGTGGCTTGGCCTGCCAGAGACAACGCGCCTCTCGCCCGTGCGCCTCCACGCTCTGGTCGCGCAGCTTGACCGGCGCTGCGACTACCTGCACTTTCTGGGTCATCCCTCGGCGCAATCCGTCGACGTGGGCTTGACGCTGCACCTCCACGACGTCCTCAGCCACATACGACTCGTGTACGCCGATGCACTCGGCGGCTGCGTGTCGTCCCTGCGCCTCGCCCTGCGCGCGTGCTGCCCAAAGGACGACAGCGTCGGCGGCATCGCGCAAGACGCCGCGCAGCATCCGTGCGGCCTGGTCGTCGACGGCCTCTGGCTGTTTTACGGAACAGGCTTCGCGAAGCTGCCGACCGCCCGCCTCGTGTGGGAGCGGACCACGTCCGAGAGCCAAAGTCGCCAGCTTGAACTTGCATTCTACAGGCTCTGGCTCCTCCGGCACGTCGGTGAGGCCCCGTGGGGCGATCCGCGCGTCTTTTCATGCATTCAGGACGGCGTGGACGTGTCGTCGAGCGACTGCAATGCGCTCTTTGGCGACGACGTTGACGTCGCCTTGGTCGTCGCCTATGGCACGCTGCTGGCACCGGCGCTGCCCGAGCTCCCGGACGTGGTCACGCTGCAGCAGCCAAGTCGTCGGAGATAATGATACGCATAGCAATATATTGGGTCGCGGGTTAGTGGCCACACCTTGGATGCGATTACCGGCCGTACTTTTGGAACTCCCACTCGCGGTTGTCGAGCGGGCAGACCTGTCGCGTCTTGAGCCAGCGGCTAATGCAGTGGAAGTGGAAGGCGTGGTTGCACACGCCCCACGCGACCGTGCACTCCTCGCTCGTCGCCGAGGCCTGGTTGGCCTGGCACTCGATGCAAAGGTCCATGATGTGGTTGCGGCAGATGGCGCAGTTGTCGACGACGATGTCCCAGCTCCAGAGCGCGACCGCGTTCCACTTCTTGATCTCAAAGCGCTTCGGCTCGTCCACGTCCGCCGCCTTCTTCTCTTCTTCCATCGCCGCCGTTCGAAAATACCAAGTCTGTGAGGGTTTGTTGGCCGCGCTCGCTATCCGGATTCCGGATACCGCACAGACCACATCGCCAGGATGGACGGACGATCGCTCTGTGTAGGCCGCGTCCATGCGAGGGGATCGTCGATACGAGAGACGAGGGAAGCCTCTTGTCTGGCGCCCAGCGCCGCTGGTACCATAGGACCCCTTGACGCCAATCGGCCGCCATATCTTGCGTATGGCCAATCGCTCGCGTGGAAACCCCGCCTTTTGAATCTTTTTATCCAATCCAATTCGATCTTTCGTTTCAAGCCACTCGGTGAGTGTTGGTGATCGCGTGGGAGGGGGGGCACCGTCGGATAGCATTGCTCTCACAGTCTTCTCGTTGGGCTGTACAAGTATACTATTGAATGCTGGCAGAATGGGAGTGGATCTTCTCGGTAACCTTGGCGCATTTCGCTGTTGGCGCATTTCGCTGTTGTGCCAAGCTCGTCTTCGCCCATCGTGAGTTCGCAGTCTGCAATGAGCCCCCACTTCAGCTGATGGAGTATGGATGTGGTGGAGGCAATACAAGACCTTAAATGTGCACATCAACGCGCTGCGTCGGCTTCCTCTTGCCCAAGAAGCAAGCATAATGTGCCATTTTGTGTTTCCATGGATATCCTCGTTGCGGTCCTAGTCTCGGATTGGCCGAGCGGCTTTCGGCGAGCCAATCACATGGCTTGACGCCAAGATCGCGAGACCACGTTTCCCTCGCAAATGGCCACCAGGTTTTCATCCAAGGCAAGTGTATAGACTGCGCGAAGCAATGCAATATTGGTGTGTGTTGGCGTTCTGCAGCTGTCGCCAATGGGTGTATATCCTTGCGCAACCTTCTTTCAGACTGAGACGAGGTCATTTACGCCTATTTTACCCTACCGGATCGAGGCCGGTGCGGCTTTTTCAGGAAACGAAAGGACAGCGCGATGGCCACCAAGAAGGTACACGACCTCGAGACGCATGGCGCCATCGGTCTCATCTGTCGCAGCAGGTGCGCATGCGTAAGCACAAGTTCCCGGCCAAGCTACAGCGCACCGTGAAGCCGCCGTCCGAGGCCCCCTTCATGACGCCGTGCTCCAGAACCGGACCGCGGCCAGGCGCCGCCCTCATCCGAGGGGCGTTATCGAAGGAAGCCTACGCAGGTCCGCCACATCCTCTACTAGGGTCTTTTATCACTCACGAACTATGATTAGTGCTCTCCGAGGCATATGCAGACGATGGCCCTGGTGTCGAGCCTGACGTAGTCCTCGACGTCGGGGACGACGATGGTGACCTCATCCAACCGTACGACGATCCACTCGACGCCCCCAGCGACGACGAGGAAGCGGCGATGGCCATCGATGCTGCTCACGCCGATCGAGAAGCGAGCGCCGCTTCCTCGTGTCACGCGATCAAGGAGCAGCGTCGGCTCGCGGCTTTCGCTGCGTATTTGTACCCAAGCGTGCGCGCCCTGTGCGCCTTTACAAACCCCGTGCATGACGACCGCTTATGCGCTATCGACAGCTGCGGCTCCCCGGCCGCAGCAATCTGCACGACTTGCCACGCCACGCACAACGCCGCACACTTGTGCGCGCGTCACGCGGACGTCCACGATACGCAATCCCTTGGACACAAGATTGTCCGGGACGCTACGAAGACAACCATCAAGAACTACCAGTGCTGCGAAGAGGACGCCGCCTCGACCTACGTTGTACGGCTGCATACCTTCGACACGGACGCCGACAAGATCTTCGTCAAGACATGCGCCAACCACCACATCGGCCCGGTTCTTATTGGAATTGGATTTATGCCTGATAACATGGATCAACCCAGTACGTCTATCCAATTGTGTTTGGTATGCTCTAACGATTCTGTCAGGCCACGCATTCTCCATGAACATTGTCGCCACTGCCGCCAAGATGCGCGCATGTGGTGCGCCTTACCAAACGAGCTTCGAGGGCTTCTATGGGATTGGGGTCAAGTCCGCGTTCTACAAGCCGTTTGTCGACGCAACGAGACACATTGTTGCACTACAACAACACGTGCACCACCAAGACCTCGTCGGCGACCTTGTCGGACCAAGCACCAACCCAACCGTCACGAAGACGCGCTGCGGTGCGTGCGAAGGAGGTGATGGGCCTGCTCTCGGACCGAGAATTATTGTACGTAATGCATTTTAGCACTTGGCGCTCAACTGTTGCGCCAATAGACGATTGACGGCTTTGCCTCGGCAAAAAAAATGGCGTCCGCGCATGGCGGCGGCGGCAATCACGGCAACTACTCGTGGACGAGCTCCTACTTTGTGCCGCTCAAGAGCGATGGAAGCGTCCGTGTGGCGCGAAGTCAAGGCGGGTGCAGCGCAAACACCGTTGCGGGTGAAAACAGCGCCAAGCAAGGCCTGCACGACGTCAACATGGTGGTTCACGCCGGCTGCAGACATGAGATGGTTCACGCCATCGTTGGTACGTTGCTGTTAATTTATGGCTTATCTTTGCCAACTGCTTTGATATAGATGTCCCGTTCGGCGAAAGGCTCGTGTGCGCTGATACGCTAGTGGAAGCTAGCCAAAAGCGTGATGTCGAACGCCCTCTATGGCTCGGATACGACGTAATTTGCAAATACATGGCTTACTGTCGGGTATGGCACCAACATAGGTTTATATAGAACGCTTATTTAATACGTTTGCTAGGTGAATGACCTCGATGGGCCTGAGCTTGGCTTTCTTCCCGCCTTCCATGCGTATTCGCACGACACCCGCTGCCAGACGCAATTCAGTCCGCGTGCTATTATGGGCACTGGAACCACTCTTGATGGCGAGGGCCACGAGCGCACGAACAGCGTTTTATCTCGGAGCATCGCGTCTACCCGGTTCGAGACGGCAGGCAATCGTCAGCAAGACATTGCGTGGCTTCTCGAGTACAACAACCGCAAGAAGGAAGAAAATTTTATTCCAAACGCTCGACAGGCAGCGAGCGCGGTATTTGTCAGGCTCCACGACACGTACACGACTTTGAACGGACAGGTTGGCAGGTTTGTGCGTTGTCACAAAGAATGGTTCTTACTGAAATATGTCTACAGCTACGTGTCAAACGTCGTGTACAACAATACTCTGCGCAAGGACGCTCTCAAGAGCATTGCACTGTCCAAGGGAAGAAACCCGCCGGAGTCCGCTCTTCGAGCAGACATCGCGACAGATATTCGCGCCATTGTCAACCTCGAACGCCTGTTGAAGTCAAAGATCGGCACAACGAAGGCATCGAAGATGCGTAAGCGCGTGAAGACACTGCGCAGCAAGGTCGACGGCAAGATTGGCCTCGTGCAAGGTATGATTCCTTATGCTATTGCGTCGTCATGGGATTAACTGATAATAGGGTTGACATATGAGAAGGCCCGCGGCCAACTTATAATGCGCAACAACAATGACACTGCGATGTACTGGCGATACGTCGAGGATCTCTACCACCTCCAGAACGGACTACGAAACTGGATCGACTACTACCAAGGCAGGCAGCAGAAGCTCACGAACGTACTGCATGTCGTCGTCGATCGCTTCAGTTGCTGGCAAGGCGACGGGCCGTGTCTACAGCGAGCTCTTCTAGCCTCCAAGGAAATATGTATCGAGCGAGTGGCCGCAGCCGAAGAATTGTTGCGAGCTCACGCTGGGCGCATCTGCAACAGCTTCGTCCTCGGTACCCACTTGGCCGAAGTTGACGATGCTGTGAAGACTGGAGTCCTTAGCAACCAGCACAACATTTAACGATGCGTAATACATGATATATTCAATCAATTCATTCGGTATATCGGTCTGCGGAAGCCTCAGCGTTGTTGTTATTGCGCTGCTACTAAAGAACCTCTGGTAGCACTCACGGCACCTCCACCACTTGGTGGCATCCGAAATGCGTCGAGTCCGCCTTGAAGCCAATGCCTCAGCTGGGGCATCGCCAATCCCGCTGACATTTGAACTTCGCACCAAGAAGTAAGCGCGCAGTCGCCATCGCCCAACCAATTGTGTAATCCCGTGTAGGTTCTACAAGGCATCCTACAAAAAGGGTGGGTTCAACCTGTTCATGAAGGAGAAACGTAGCGATTTTCAAAGTACGATTCTCTTTCACATCTCGAACGCTGAATTCATGACAATCCAACTAGAGCTTCGAGTGGTCGATCCAACAGCGACCTATATCGGGCAGCGATACGCCTCGGAGTGGAAGGCGATGTCTGACGAGGCAAAGCTAGCGTATTCACAGAAGGCATCGCAACTGGCGCCGGCGCCTCCTCGAAAGCTTTCGAAAACCGAGATCCAAAAGCAAAAGGACGAGGCCTACCAGAGGCCTACAAGAAGGTCCGGATTGGGATGAAGGAGCTTTACAGCCTTGGTATCCAGACGATAACGTATCACTACGACGTGACAACCGACTGTGGCGGCTGGGTTCATCAAGGTACAAAAACTGCAGGCAGGGAATTGTTTACAACGCGTTGTCTGTTGTAGGAGACGAAGCGCTACGAGTTATTGAGACGATTGACGGGTTTAGGGGCGCCTGCCCCTTCCATCTGTTCCCGACCTTTGCTGGCGAATCTGAAATGGAGGCCAGACGTGGGTAGTAGTGGATGAAATAATCAGATAAATAGACGCTCGAGGATTCACACAGTTAAAATGGGCCGAACGTAGTGGGAATTGTGCTCACAAGAGCTCATCTTGTTAAAACTCTTTACTTAAATTTGTAGATTTGCGCATAGATAACGACCTGCACGAGCAAGGCGTCATTCGCGTTGCTCGCGGTAGAGTGCGTACTGACGTGAGTTCATTGTTGTCAATTGTCAATTGGATTGAAGGACTTTACTGGGTATCTATCTCCTACAGTACTCATGCTTTGAGAAAAAACCGGCTGCAAATGGCCGCCACGCACCGAGCATTGCCGAACACGATCGACCGTGCGTCACCTGACCACCACAAATCAATTGAGAAGGATGTACTCGGAGCTTCTAGCGGCGGTCACCGTCGGCCTTCTCGGCGCTGTCACGCTCACCTACAAGCGCACGCACTCGCCGCCGTTGTGCGCGGCCATTGCCTGCGCCTGTGGGCAGGTCCAAGGCCGCGTGGATGCGCCGGCCGCGACGCGCTTGGTATGCTACTGCACCGACTGCAACGCCTTTGCCACCAAAGTGTCCAAGACGAACGCGCCACCGCTGGACGCGAGCGGAGGCACCGACATCCTTCAGCTCTTCCCGGCCGACCTTACTTTCAGCCGCGGCGCCGAGCACCTCACGGTGGGCATTTTGTCGCCTGAAACAGCAACCCTCCGCGTCTTTGCGTCGTGCTGCGGTACGCCCATGTACAACACGATGCAAGGAGCTGCCTTTGCGGGTCTTCTCGCGTCGGTGCTCCAAGACAAGTCGCTCGTGCTGCCGCCAATCCAATTTCGCATCTTTGCACGGTCAGCGACAGGACCGGTTCCGGACGCGCCGGTGGCCGCGAAGGCGGTCTCGGTGCGCTTTGTTGTGAACTTTATCGTGCGCTCGGCCGTGTACCGCGGCCGCGCGTCGCCCGCGCCGGTGGCGTTGACACCCCGCGTTCTCTTGTGAGCAGTGGATAGATCATGATAAGCTTTGTCAAGACACCTTTTCCGTGTATGCCAGAGCCCTTCCTACACGTTTGTAGTATTCTGGACTCTATCTTGTTAATAGAGGTACGTGATTGTGAGCTAGGGCTGCGTCGAACGCATCGGTACTGGACAACGTGGAGCATCTGCTATTAAGATCTACTAGTATAAGATCTACTAGTATAGCTCTAAGATCTATGCATGTACTTGTAGCTACCCCGTGGTCGGAAACACTGCGATGCGATAAAACACGGTGTCCAAGTCGTGGAACATGTTTCGAAAAGAATTGGTGGAAAAGTACAAACAACCAAAATGAAAAGCACCAAGTGGAAGCGAATGCGGCAGACGAGCTTACCACTGGTTGCGCGCCACGAGCTCGTTCCAACCAGCAAGATCGTAGTACGTGCGGCCTCGCAGCGCGGGCGTCGTCTCGAGCGTCGTGTGCAGCCACGTCATCTCATCGTCCGAGAGCGCGTCGTTCGACCAGAGCGTGAGCCCATGCGTCGAGTTGGTGTAGACGCGCTCGAGTGCGGGCCAGCTGCGGCGCACGAGCGACGCTTTGATGGGCAGCGTGGCGCTGGCATTCACGCCTTGCAATAGCTGCAGCATCTCGTCCACCATGGCCGAAGTGTACTCGACGCTCGCAGCCGACGTTGTCCAGCCGACACTGAGCTTGTCGGTATGGCAGGCAGTGGCTTGCGCGACGAACTGCGCTGCATCAAAGCTGGGTGCTGGAGCCTCGCTGCCGCGTAAGATGTCGGCGTTGAGCCAAATGCGGCGGCGCAAACTCGCGGGCGCGGCCGTGAGGTTGCTGAGCGCCGCCTCGAACGCAGCGCGGGTCTTGAAATCGAGCTTGACGATGCAATTCGAGGCCGACGCGCGCGCCAAGAACATCTCGAACGTCAAGTCGCTCGTGTTGGCCGGCGGATGGGCCATGATGAGCACGTTCTCGGGGCTCAACTGCACGTCGGCCTCGAGGGCGAGCCCTCTCGCGAGCGCGTCTGTGAGCTGCGCCTGCGAGTTGACGGCGTGGGCCCAGTGCACGCGCATGGGGTCGGCGCTGCTGGAAGACATTCTCGGCGATACAAAGTAGGCGTCCGTGGTCACGTACAGGAGCGCGAAGATCGACGTGCTCAAGAGAAGAGCGATGCACCACGCGAGCGCTGGGCGCCGCATGCAGGACTCGCGTATCCGTAGCGCTTTTTAGCCGGTTCAAAAAGATTACGGAAAAGATGGATCCCTTCTTCATATATATATCGTGGAGTAGGTAGGGCACGCATTGGCATTGGGTGGTGGAGTCTATCATACTGTAAAATCACGCAATCTGTGCAACGTACATGCGACTCCTGTGCACTCACGTGCATCGTTTTCAGTGCCAGCGATCTCCGCGTGCCGAAATTCCGTCATAAAAACGGTAATTTCGCTTGACCCATGAGTATTTTATCCGGATGACACGCACTCACAATCCGCACAGGCGCAATGACCGCCAACTGGGACGCTGTCGACGACCTCCACCCGACCGTCTTCGCCTACGCTGGCGGGCTCACGCAGTGGCTCAACGGTACCCTGAAGCTAGATGGCTCGGAGGACAATGACGTTGCCTCGGAGCTCTGGGCCGACGCCTTTCGCCTCGACTGGCCCGGCGACCTCGCGACGTTGCCGAGAGCCTACCTCGGTCCGCAGCGCTTTCGCTTGATCCGGTCCAAGGACATGTACAAGCGCGTGATGCAAGTCTTGTACCACGGCGAAGAGATCCAAGGAGGACTCTTTACACACGACGTCGTCTTCTACGCAGATGCGTCCTACGCTCCGTACCGGGACGACTCGGTCCTGGTCGCCGAGATCATGGCTGCGCCCATGGAGAACGTCTGGCTGGACAAACTTGCGTCGCTGCTCGAAACCCCAAAGGCCCTCGCGACGGCGGCGGCGCTCGGCGGTCACACGCGTCTCCTCGAGTACCTCGTGCGCGAGAAAGGCGTCAACCTCGCCGAAATGGTGCGTCTGCACCGCCCCGTCATCGGCTTCGTCATGGATATGGTCGCGTATTACGGTCATCTCGAGACGCTTCGGCTGCTTCACGAGGCCGGATCCACCGGGTGCTCCGTCGCGGCCATGGACAACGCCGCGTCCAACGGCTTTCTCGATATCGTGCGCTGGTTGCATGCGCACCGAGTCGAAGGCTGCTCGGCTGCAGCGCTTAACGGCGCCATCAACAACGGACACGTCGAAATCGTTGCGTTTCTGCGGCAGCACTACCCGGAGCTCGATGTTTCTTCCGATGCAATGGACGAAGCGGCTGGTTCAGGTCGTCTCGACGTCGTGCGGTACCTTCATGAACAGTGCCATGCGCCATGCACGACCAAGAGCTTGGATGCTGCAGCGTACCATGGATACCTAGACATTGTGCAGTACCTTCATACGCACCGTCACGAAGGCTGCACGACGGAAGCGATGGATGGTGCTGCCTGCAACGGATACTTGGAGGTCATCGAGTTTCTCGACGCTTACCGCTCCGAGGGCTGCACCACCTTTGCGTTCGACACGGCCGCGCGCAACAACCACATGGCCATCCTCCAGTTCTTATCGGCGTCGCGCACCGAAGGAGGCACGACCAAGGCCATGGACCGTGCCGCGCACCGAGGCCACTTTGACGTTGTGCGCTTCCTCCACGACCACCGACCGGAAGGCTGCACGACGCGCGCCATCGACTGGGCGGCCGCGGCGGGGCACTTGGCGATTGTCGAGTTCCTCATGGAGAATCGGCGCGAGGGCTTTACGTACCGAGGCATGTTTTGGGCGGCGCGGGATGGTCATTTGGACGTCCTCGCCTACCTCTTGGCGCACGACAGCGCGAAGAAGGCAGCGCGTGCGGTCCAGCGAGCGCTCGACGACAGGAGCGAAAGTGTGTTTGTCAACCTAAAGGCAGCGCAGTACCCCGGCACCACAACGGTCGACATGGCTGCGATCGAGTGGGACGACGAGGTTGATGGGTGCTTCGCCTTCAACGACGAGGAACCAGAAGAAGATGGCGAAGAGTGCTACTACGACTGGGATTCGGACAACTCGACGGAAGGCTGCATGTTTTGGTAGTCGATAGAATGCAATTTGAATGATCGGCTCGTACCAATGGGCTCGTTGTTAACACCCAGTGGCTCAATGACCGCCCGCACATCGGCAACATCCAAGTCATTCCAGCGTTGTGGGCCGACGTCTTTCGCCTCGACTGGCTCGGCGACCTCACGTCCTTGCCCCAAACGCTTCAAGGCGACGGTAGGATCTCGAAACAGGTTCTAGCTGTGCAACCCTGTGTGTCCTACGAGGGTCAAGAGGACTCAAGATCAGACACAAAAGACCGTGTGCTTTGCTAGCAAGCTTGACGCATGAGCCCATGTCAGCATTTGACATCCTTGTCGGTTGACGACAGCTCCCGTGGATCGCAGCTGGGGGCAGCGGATTGGCTAAAAAATGAGCCAATCGGATGAAAGCATTGTTGGCGTGTTCTTCAGAATCTTTTGAGCGATGGACATTGCGCTGGACGAGGACGATGGGACGCGGGACGTGCTGGAAGAGCCGCTTCTCGACGAGGACCAGCGGCGCCATACGAGCCTCCGCGGGCGAGTACATGTACACCAAGATGAACTACTTCGGCGGCTGCACCAGGACTGGGTTCGCGTCTCGCCACCGACCAAGCCGTCGCCGAGCCATGGCATGTACCCGCCGCCCCACTGTGCTGCCCGCCGCAGGTCCCGCCTTCTTCTTGCAAACGTTTTACCATGCTGCGTGTAGTCTTTGCGCGAGGCGACGCCAAAGAAGGCTTCCAGACGGTCCACGAGACGCCGCCTGATCGCTACCAGAGCGGCTGGTCAACGGTCTTCTCGATCTGGAACACGATGATCGGGTCGACGCTCGTCGCGCTACCGTACGGCTTCTCGTGCAGCGGTCTCTCGATTGTATTGTGTGCGACAGCAGCTCATGCCTGCACGTAGGTATCGTCCTTGGCATTGGCATCGTCCTTCTCATGGGCGTCATCTGCTGCCACACGTGCAACCTCGTCGTCACCTACGGCAAGGTACGATCATGTCCATCTCGTTCAATCGAGGATGCTATGCAAGCAGGACTTTAGCGATTTTGGCGACCTCACGCTGTACCATTTCGGGCGGCGCGCGCAGCTCGTTGCGATGACAGTCTCGTTGCTCGTGCTCGTCGGCGCATGTATTGCGTACCACGTGCTCATGAAGCAGTGCACGTACGCGGTCGTTTCTGCGCTCTTGCATTGGTCGGGGCGATCGGAGCTCGCGGTGCACTGGACGCCGTCTGCCGCGGCCTTGTTTGTGCTCCTTCTCTTCCCCGTGACGAATCTCAAGCACTTTTCGACGCTCGTGTTTCTCAACTCGCTCGGCATTCCATTCGTGCTGTTTACGATCGTGTTTATCGTCTACCAAGGCGTCGACACCATTGCGACGGGTCGCATCGACGACGATATTGTCTTCGGCGGCAAGTCGACCTTTGGCGTCCTTGGCGGTATCGTGACGCTTTCGTTCTTCATCCACAATGCGATCCAGCCCATCGTGCGGCACTGTGACCCGTCGCAGCGTCAGGTATGCTGACCACAGACAACGTCATCTCTCGTTTCATGTAGCGCCACGTCACGACGGCGTACACGCTCGTGGGCCTGAGCTACACGGCGGTCGGTGCACTCGGGTACATTGGGTTTCCCCATGGCCATATTCGCCAGAACTTTCTCGACGCCTTCCCCACCACGTACGTCGCGCGTCACGTGCCGTCGTCATCATCGTTGGTGTTAGCGATGCGTTTGCTTTCAGCGCGCGGGCGTCGCTCTTACTGCAGCTCGCGACCGTGTACCCGCTCGTGCTCCTCATCGTGCGCACGCAGCTCTTCCACTTGGTCTTGCACACGTCGTGGCCAGGGCGTGTGCCTGTGCTGTGTCTCAACGTCCTCGTCATGACAATCACGACGCTCTTCGCCATCTACTACCCAAATGTCGGCGACGTCTTGCGCTTTACGGGCGCAATTGGCGGCTTTGTCCTCATCTTTGGCGTGCCGATTGGCATCCACTTGAACGCACGCGTCGCCAAGCGTCACTTGACGAGGCGATCGCTTGTCGTCTACGGCGCCATGGGCTGGATCGGCCTCGGGCTCCTCGTGCTGCAGTTTGTGCCGATGCAGCAATAAGAAAGAATACCTTGCTACCAATAAGAATGGATTGTCTGACGTTTGATGTTGTCTTGAAGTGTATGGGATCACGCACCGATCTTGTCTGCGATCCCAAGGTCCAAGGTCCGATGCTCCCAGTTTGCCGTTTGCGTTTGATTGGCTAAATGTGCACGCACGAGCCGGTGGTTCGAGCGGGACGAACTGAAGCTTGGCTGATCATCAGGAGCCACGATGGTTCAAGGAGGCCCAAGGTGGAAAGAGACGCTTGCCTGTTGAAACCCACCATGGTTGTCAAATGCAACCCTAGTCGCGGTTGAAGCCGCCATCGATCCGGATAGCGACGAAGTGCGATAGAGTAGTACACGATAGACGAACGTCATTTCAGATTGAGAGAACAAAGCGGAGCCACGAAGAAGAAGAGAACGATCGACGACAACCCGGCCGCGCGATGGCGCGGCCTCGTCGGTCGACATGAAGAGAAGAGACGGTCTCGGTAGCGAGCACCCGCAGCGCGAGCTCGACAGAAGGCTCAACCACGTCTAGCAGGACACCCTGCGCTGGCGCCAGGTAGCGTCAAACGGCGCGGCTCGCCATCTCCCATGACAGCCTGTTTTTAGGCCTACCCGATCGAGCCGTTCTCGCCACCCGCGTCGACGCGCATGTTTGCGTTGGAGGTTCGCCTTCTGTGTGTTTGGTTGCCATCTTAAATTGTTTGTTTTAGGTCGTCGCCAACGTCTTTTGTCAGCTTTGACACGCTCGTGCCGCTTGCGACAGCCCCAGAGGTTGGCTTTCTCAAATCTGTCGCCGTCACCTCAGAATGGCTTGTTTTAGGTCGTCGCGCCGGCGTGGCTCTTTACAGAGCACGAGATCGACAGCGAGGGCGTCAAAGCCCCCTCCCAGCGTTTTTGAATGGCGGGGCTGGGGGGTACGTTTATCTGATCGACCCCGAAACCTCGCGGGTGGTCAAGGACGAGCGCTACCCAATGCACTTGGTCCTCAGCCTGCGCCAAGAGCTTGGCCAATTTGTGGGCGGGCTGTTGCCGCAAGCGAACCAAGCGCTGGCGATGATCACTCTCCTTAATGCACAGTTTGTGCATCACTTAACTCTACAACAGATAATACCGACTTTTGTCTGTCATTCTTTGTTTTACATCGCTACAAGCTACATCGCTACACCACTGGAAGAGATCCAACTCCGAGACCAACACATGCTAGTACATACATCCAATGCAAATGCATCGCTTTACAAACTGGACGAGCCATCGTGTGTGGTCCAGAATCACCGACCTTTTGCGATTTCCATCTCTCAAACCTAGTCCTCGTCTTGCTTCTGAACGACCTTGAGGAATACGAGAACGCCCAGTCGCCAGTTCGAGAGAACGCGTTGCGCAAACATGCTCGATGACAAGGGCTTCTTTGAATTTTCGCGCCTTTTCATGTCAGTCGCATCACAAGTATTCAAAGCAGAAAGATGCGAATGATCGATGGACGTCGCACCATCGAGCGTGATTCATTCACCTCATCCCATGGATGACGCACGGCACTATGGATGACCAGATAACGACCATCGACACACAGCGTAGGATTGAAGATAACTCAATCAAATTGGCACCATTTCCGAATCCAACCTAACCCTACCCTAATCCCAGAAAGTTGCGGCATCGGTTGCTGACTTCCATTTGCCTTTACAGCGTAAAAGACGACTTGTCGTTTTTACCATCGAGCTAAACTAGCTTTCTACATGTCATTTCCAATTCATCGAGCGAGCGACCAAGCACCATGACTCTCTACAGCGCAACGTACCACCAGGACAAGGAGGCCCGTCGCGTGGCGGCTTTGGAAGCCCAACTCCGCATCTCGCACCCGTTCCGCCGGCCTACCAGCACCAAGTCGGTGGCCAAGACGACAGCCAAGCCAGCTGCACGCTCTACCACTGCCCCTGCGGTGCGCTCGGCGCCTCGCGCTAGCAACACGCCGATCGCGCGTCCTGCATCGGATTGCGCGCGCGACCACAAGGTCGAGATCGAACGTCTGCAAGCCGAGCACCAAGCTGCTTTGGCTGCCATGACTGAAAAGCTGCATGCTGCCCACGACCACGTGCTCGAGCTTGCGCACCGCGTTCTTCGGCGCGACGACACGATCACGGCGCTTCGTGAAAAGCTTGAGCGCCGCGTTGCGCGCAAGGAGGCCGAAGTGCAGCACATCAAGATGCACTTGGTCGACGCCAACACCGTCATCGCCGAGAACAAGACGACGATTTCGGAGCTCCACGAGCAACTCATCAAGACCGAGACGGTCCTCGCCGACACGGTCGCTCAAAAGGACAACACGATATATCATGCAGCTCTCGGCGCAAGTGACGAGCCTGGAGGCCCACGCAGCAGCGACCTCCAACGACGGAGAAGCTGCATGCTGCCCACGACCACGTGCTGGAGCTTGCGCACCGCGTCCTTCGGCGCGACGACACGATCACGGCGCTTCGTGAAAAAGCTCGAGCGTCGCGTTGCACGCAAGGAGGCCGAAGTTCAGCACATCAAAAATGCACTTGGTCGACGCCAACACCGTCATCGCCGAGAACAAGACCACGATCTCGGAGCTCCACGAACAACTCATCAAGACCGAGACGGTCCTCGCCGACACGGTAGCTCAAAAGGACAACACGATCGCGCAGCTCTCGGCGCAAGTCGCAGCAGCGACCTCCAACGACGCGCTGGACGCCGCCAACGAGCGCGCGATCCAGCTCGCATATCGCGTCCTTCGGCGCGACGACACGATCACTGCCTTGCGGGAGAAGATGGAGCGCCGCCTTGCCGCAAGGAGGCCCAGATGCAGCACACCAAAATGCACTTGGTCGACGCCAACGCCACCATTGCCAAGGACAAGAGTACGATCACGCAGCTCAGTACGTGGGTCAAGAGCCTCGAGACCCAGATTCACGCAGCCATCGCCTCCAACGACACGCTATTAGCGACTCTGCACCAGCCAACTCGAGTTTCTTTGTGGTCGAATGGACCGCCGCACTCGACGGACGACTTGGATTCGCTCGCATCGTCCGAGATGGAGCCGCTTGCAGAGCCATCGCCTTCCCATCCCATCAACCGCGCCCGGCAACTCGTCGACGCCTCTTCCAACGCCAACAGCAAGGACGCTGCGACGTGCCAGACCCATTGGATGTTCAACTAGTACTAGGAAATAAGATCTAATATAACACGAAAAATCAAATAAATCATCTACAAATGGCCGAGATAAAGTTCAAAAGTCTACGACGACCCGAGTGTCGTCTACGCGAGAACCCGCGCTCGTGTCTCTCTGTGACACGCGACCTACAGTATCAAGATATCGACCTTTCCATCGTGTTCGACTCCAATTCTATTTCGGGCGATGCGCAGAGTATGGCGACGCCACGTACGACGACGACGACAGTCGAGAGCGCCGAAGCCAATGGCGTCGCAGCGCTGTGTGCTGACGCGCGGGCGCTGGCTGTCAAGGGAGTTCTCAAGGCCAAGGCCGGCGACAACCTCAGCGCCATCGCGCTCTTCGAAGCCAGCATCGATGTACACCACCCGACTCCATTCTCTTCCTCGTGTCAAGCGAGCACGCGTAGATGGAGCCCGACAGCTGGATCGTGTGGAAGCACTTGGCCATGGCGCAGTTTGATCTCTGGCACTACACGGCGACGCTGCCGCCGACGCCCGACGCCATCGCCTTTCTCGAGCGCCACAAGACGTCGTCGCGCGATGCGGCCAATGTCTTCTTGCAGGTACCTCCATGCCGACAATGACCTAGCGATGGCCAAGGGTGATATGGCACAGCGGGCGTACGACACCTTTATCGTTGCGATGGAGTACGCAGAGAACAAGACACACCCGGCGCTGCTCCTCCGGCTCGGGTTTCTATACGTCGAGTTCCGTGCGTACGAAGGCGCGCTCACAGTGTGTACACTCCTCCTCGAGACGTGCCGCGAGTACACACACAAACCCAGCGCCATCTTCCTCACAGCTGCCGTCGCATCCATGCTGCAGCACCCGCTCCAGAGCAGCGAGTATTTTTCCCACATCCTCGAAACACCGCCGTATGCACTCGCGTCGTACCAGCTGCACCTGATTGCAGGCACGTCGTGTCCATGCCAAAATCGTGTTTCGAACCCCGATGCTAGGCATGCAATGCGATAAGGACGCTGGCAACACCGAGGCCCACGAGCGCGCGCGTATCCTGTATGAAGCTGGCTACCAGCGCCTCTTGCGCGACTCTGACGACGACATCCGGGATGCTTCGCTGCCCGCGTCGGCCGCCACCGCCCTTTCGCTCTACCGGACGTCGCGCAAAACCGAGGCGGAGCGTCTCCAGCTCTGGATTGCCGACGCGGCTCTGTGGGAGGAGCTCGCTTCCGATGCATTTGCCGCCAACCACGCGACAGTGGCCGCGAGCGCGCTCGAGTACGCGATCGCGCGCGGCGGTGGCACCGCGCCGGCCATCTTGCTCGTGCTCGGTCGCGTTCACATTCGACTTGGCAACGCTGCGGTCGCGCAAGCGGCGCTGGAGCGTGCTTTGTACATGGAGTACTACACGTCGCCCGCGATCCGGTACTTTCTCGGCCTCGTGAGCCCGGCGTGGGCTTCGTACCTTGCCGCCGAGACGCGCGGTGCGACGCAGCTCGAGCGGCTCTACCGGGGCCACTGCGGACGCCGATATGCCGCCGCCTGCCGGGTACTTTTGGATGGCACCGTACCCACATTCGATCTGACGCGCCTGTATCTAGCACGCGCGCAGCCAGCGCTGGCAGCGGAAATGGTGTGTGCTTACGCTCTTCCATGGCAAGTGCCGCGCCGCCGCTCTCGCCGTCGCCGAGCGCAAGGCGCGCGAGCTCGCACGCGAGGCGGCCGCGAGAGATGCCATGCACGCCAACGACGTCTACCTCCTCTTGCAGCGGTGGAATGCAGCGGCGAGGCGCATCCAGAGCTTGCTTCACATCCAACGAGCAAAAAACGTCCGAGCGCAGCGGCGCGAATGGGTCGCCCAGCACCGCCGGCTGCTCGAGCGCGTGCTCCGCCATGGCAACGAGCGCTGGGTGCAAGCATGCTTTGCGGCCTGCGTCGCCTTTCTGCAGCTCACGCGCCATGAGAAGGCCGCTGCTGTCCTCGTGTTGCAGAGCAACGTACGGCGCTGGCTCGCGCGCCGTCGGTTTCTCGCGGCCAAGGCCAAGGAAGCCACCCACCGACGCCTCCTATCGCTCTTTCTCGGGCAGCGCAGCGCGCAGCGCCGCCAAGCAACGTTTTTCGCGTGGTACACGCTGCACACGCATGTGCGCGCATCGAAGCAAGCGAGTGCGCTTCGTCTCCAGAGCTGGTGGCGCGGGCGCCGGGCGCTCTGGGAGTTCCGACACGCGATGGCCCACCGACGGCGCGTGCTCAACCACGTCGAGGCCATGGTCCTCGGGCGTCACGCCCACTGGCGCCTGCAGTGTTTCCGGCACTGGACAACGTACGTCGCTCAGCGCATGGTCCTCAAGCACCAATGCGCAACGCGCATCCAGCGGCGCGTACGCGGTCTTTTAAGTCGCAAGCGCATGCGCAGGCTCCGCGGTCGGCACGTCTACTGCGAGCGCATGGTGGCGCACATGCAGCGCCAACGGGCGTCGCGTCTCCTCGAGCGTGTACTTCACATGTGGCTCCTCTACCTCGAGTTGCGGGCGCGGGAGAAAGATCTGGCCGCGATCTCGATCCAGCGCTGTGTCCGCGGCCACCAGACGCGCCGCCAGTACCGGGGCGAGCGCGAGTACCACCAGATCTACTACCCGCATGTGCTTTCGACGCTACCGCTGGTCATGGTGCCGCTGCGGCTTGTCTTTTTCGCGTGGAAGACCGCCCGCCGGTACCGAAGCGAGGTCCAAGCGCGCGCGGCCCACTGCATTCAACGCGCGTACCGCCACTGCTTGCACCAACGGCGCGGTCGGCAGCTGCGGCATCGCCTTCAGCGACAGCACGCGATGCTTCTCTCGCTCCAGCGCACGTTCTATGGCATCGCCAAGCAATTCTTTGACGTCTTGCGAGGGCTGCGAGAAGCCACAAGGGGAAAGCGCAATGCGGCGGCTGTGGTGCTGCAGCGGTCGCTCCGCGGCTGGCTCGCGCGGCGCGTCGTCAAGCGCATGGCCGCACAGCACACGGCGTCGCGATCGCTCATGCTACGCGTCGTGAACCACCGGTCGCGGCAGTGGAAGGAGCGCGTTCTGACCAACTGGAAGACGCTCGTGGCAGCGATTCGGGACAGAAAGTGCGCGGCCGTCGTGCGCATCCAGCGACGGTACAGAGCGCTGATCGCCATGCGCCGCGCCCGCATCGTCATGGACAAGAAGGCGCGGCAACTGCGGCTGCTCGCGCAGGCGACCACCAAGCCCATTGCGCGCTGCTTTCAGCAGTGGGCATCGATTCTCATTGCCAACGCTGTCGACGCGCTCCAGTCGCTCGCCGCGTCGCCGCTCCAGCGCATGAAGGAGCTCGAGCGCTCGCAAACGTCAACGACGATGCCATCGCAACGCGAGGTCGGTTCTTCTGACATTGGCACTCTTTTGACGTTGAGATTGAGATGCATGTCGAAATTGAGAGTAGTCGAACGCGGTCCCGACCATGCTTTTCTTCCACGTCCTGACCCGCGTGCGCAACACGGGGCTCTGCCAATTGCCGCCAGCGTACGAAGCTTCTAGGACGCGACTAGCTCGATACGATTTGCGTGTTGTAGACACGGCTTTGACGTCACGCAGCTCCGCCAGCTCTTTAGCCTCGCAACGTCCGTCATCTCGGACGGTGGTCCTGCCCTGTGCGTCATCGTCTATCCGCACTGTACGTCGTCATAGCGTCGTAGGCAGCTGTCGACGGGCCAAGCGATCGTCGATGCGATCTACCTCTCGAGCGCGAGTCCCGTGACCAAGCTCATTCTGTACAACCACGCGCCGCTCGACCTCGTCAAGCTCAGCCGGTGCCTCTCCTTCCCGACGCACCACATACAGTCGCTCGTGCTTGGCGGCACCAAACTCTCGGCGCGCCACGTGACCAGCGTTGGCGCTCGCCTTGCTGCCGGG